TCAATAAGGGTAGTGTCATTTCAAGGGAAGAAAAATTGGTTCTTGGGAGACGAAAACATCTTACATATGAGAATGGCTATGGCCTCTGAAGGGCCACAGTGCCAGACAGGCATATAGTATATCCGTAGTATTAAAATTTAATGGAAGGAGGCTAAGGGAGACGATTAAGAGAGAAATGCCTAAAGAGGCTGCTTAGGGTGACTATAGTTTTTTAAAGCCCGAAAAACACTTGTCTAATTGATTAAATCAAATATCAGTACAATCAAAATGGTGACCAAACCAACTGTAACTCCAGCCTCACTTTCACTTTTGTATGGGGCTCGTAATATAACATCATCACCACAGGAGGGATTCATTCACTAAGTATTTTATAAACCCTAGCATGAGCACTGAGCACTCTTAGGGATGCAGCCGAAACATGATTAAGACAGGTCCTGACTTCAAAGAGCTCACAGTCCAGGAGGGCAGAGAAACATGCAAATGGCAACTCCAGGATGAAGGAATTACTGTTAGGAGAAGGGTAGGCTCAGGGTTCAGTGAGGAGCACCTGACCCAGCGTGAGAACACAAGGAAGACTGCAGAGGAAAGGGTGACTCCAGTGCTCTTCATGCTAAGCTCTGCCATAACCCCTTTGACCCCTGGGTCTCCTTAATCTTGGCAACTTCACACCTGTAGGATATCCAGGTCTGAAACAAAAATGGGGAGGCTTCATCTAGACTACATGCCTTTGCCTGTCATTATTTTAACTTCTGTGGGAAACAAGGCCCTGAGCAAAAATTGACTTGACCAAGACACTAATAGCAAGCCTATCACATGAGAACGACATGTGTCTCAAGGGGCTCTCACGGTAATGAACGCCAGAGCCCCAATTCTGGACTTCAGGTAACTTGTTCTGTATTATTACAAACTGTGCACTGGACTTTTCTTGACTTGAGATTCATGGTTATTCTTTAAGTGTGAGATGATAATGATAATATCTTAGATTAGTGTAATACTTTTGTAGATCATAAAATGCTTTTGTATGCATTAATTGCCTATTAACTCTTCATGGGAACTCCATGTATTATGATGTCTGTTGCATATTTCAGATGAGAAAACTAAGCCTCAATGAGGCCAAATCATTTGCTTAATTCAGGTCATTCAGGGCCCAGTAGGTTCAATTCCATAATCTCATGCTTTCTCCCCATAAACATTGGAGCTAATGGTAACTACTAAATGGCTTTCTATAGATGCAGATTCAACTCTAATTTGATTGATATTGGGAATCTTTTAGCCTTGATTAGTAGATCTCTGATAACAGCCAGTAATTAATGTAGGAGCCCCAAGACATGCCCTTAAGAACACACCAAACATTTCAACAATGAAACTGTGCCAAGGGCATTGGCACTGCAGCCAGGATATTTGATTCTGAGTCTTAGCTTCCTTGCTGGCACAGCAGTTGTAATAAAAACGCCAAAAAGGTATGCTATAAGGATTACATTATACATGTGTGCACACACACACGTGCACACACACAGGCTTTAACTATAAAGTGTGCTAATAGTTTCTCTACCCATTCTCTCTGTCCCAGTCTGACAAGGCAGGAATTCGACACATGTGAGCCTTCAATCCTGGCTCTAAACCGAGGATAAGAGAAATTCAACGACATGTGCTACACTGAGCCTGCTCTTGGGGAACTCACGCAGGCACTGAAAATACAGAAAAGAAAGTGTTAGGTGCCATGGGAGGAGCACAGACATGTGCTTTGGTTTCATAGAGACGGTATATCTAACTGGACATTCGTATTAGTCTGTTTTCACGCTGCTGATAAAGACATACCTGAGATTGGGCAATTTACAAAAGAAAAAGGTTTAATCAGACTTACAGTTCCACATGGCTGGGGAGGCCTCACAATCATGGTGGAAGGCAAGGAGGAGCAAGTCACATCTTACGTGGATGGCGGCAGGCAAAGAGAGGTGCGCTCGCGCAGGGAAACTTCCCTTTTTATAACCATCAGGTCTTGTGAGACTTATTCACTATCATGAGAACAGCACAGAAAAGTCCTGCCCCCATGATTCAATTACCTCGGGAATTCAAGATGAGACATGGGTGGGGACACAGCCTAACCATATCACTGCTGAAAAATGGGAACCATTTAGACACACACAGCTAGGGGTAAGGGTGTTTCAGGTATTGAAACTGACAAGCACCATCATACAGGAGGAAGGCCCTCAAATGGATAGGATGGCTTAGATTAACTGAGCCACACCGTTCCTGCTTGCAGACATGGTGCCCGACACCCACAGCATCAGAACCTCACAGCTCCCTCTGGCATGCCTGCACCATCACGAAGGAGCAGCTTAGTTGCTGGACAGAAACACAATACTCCTCCTAATAAATATAAAGAGGGCTCAGAAGGTAGCTAAAAAATGAGCAATTTTTACGACAAAATGCAGGATCCACTGTGTGACACTGAAATCTAAGAGAATGTCTGAATGTATCTTGCATGGTTTATCGGAATGGTAACTTCTGCAGAAAACCTTTCCCAAGCAAAGAGACGGGTGAGAGTGTGTCTAACATAAATATACGCATATATGACGTGTCTGTATCTACCATCAGAACTGGCTGGGCTTTCAGGAAAGTCTTTTGGGCCAGGTTTAAGGAAGCTCTTGAAGCTAAGAATGGAAACTTCTTATCTTTCATCTTCAAAAGCAGTCTGCAACACTATGCATTTTCTAAGGGTTACGACTGGTCTCTAAATTTGGGGGTTTGAGGAGGGAGGTAGAAGGAGGCTAATTACACACAGTCTTTTCTTCAACACAGTATATAGAGGAGAGCTAATGAGAGGTATAAAAGCAATCTGCTTTTTGATGTTTTTGATGGAGAATTCTGAATTCCAGGATAAACAGTACAGATTTGGTTTCGAGAAGGTAAGTTGATAAAAGTAGAAGGTATATTTCCAAGATACTTAGCAGCCCTGTGTGGAACATTTGGTGGTGATAAGGTCTGGAGGTGTACTGATTACAAGGGCATCCCCATTCTTCCTGCTTTATCCTCAGCTCATATCCCCATCACTCACTGATCAGAGAACAGACAAGAAGGTGATGGTATCTTCACACCAAGCACAGTGCCACTATGGCTGCTTTTGTCACAGGGGACTACAGAGACAATAGGGCTGGACACCAAGGGGACAGAGAACGGACATCTGTCCCCCACAATGTCAACTATGCTAGCAAATATGGCTTTGCCGGGTTTGCAAATAACAGAAAACAACTGGATCAATGACTTTTGTAGTTTTTATCTTGGCAGATATCCGTTATGGAGGTCAGTATAAATTATATTTCTGGGCGATCAAAATAGTTTACGAAATTATGTTCAAAGTGACTTTCAAAATATAAGTTTCAAGCTGCAGATAAATTAGTAATGATTTTTGCACTGTGTTCTCTGTCTTGGCCCTTCTGCAAATTATGGACAATCCTACTTGTCAGGCACTTATTGTAGAGGTTGGTGAGAGAAGAGTGTTTACAAAGCTTGTTGACTTCGTGGACGAAATATTTTTGATTAGTACAAATTATAAGTTACTATTCATTAGAAAGGATAAATGAATTATTTCAGCTCCCAATGCATCTCTGCCATACACACACTATTGTACATGGAAGAAGAGTCTGGGAGAACCCACCCTGTTCCCAGCACTGCTATTACACAAAACTACATCCCTCTGCCTTCGAAAGAACACTTCAGAGCAGCCTGAAAAACCTGCAAAGTAAGCCCTGTATTTCTTTGTCCCTTTATCTAAAAAGCAAGGGAGAAAATATAATTAGAAACGTGGCTAAGAAGCCGTCACTATTGTGCTTGGTGATAAGCTTCAGATGTTTGGATCCCAGCTCGATAATAGCCTTCGTCTTGATCAGCGCCCCTTTACAATGCAGGCTGCTACTTCACAGACAGGGTGGGGTCAAGGTTTCTGGCACCGAGAATAAAGTAAAATTCCCCACAGAGGCACCACTCCACAGAACCCGGTCATTGTGTAGATTTGATACCATTTTCCCTGTAGCACATGCCAGAAATCGCCTCTGAAAGACCATTTCTTATCGATAGCATTTTTCTAAGGTGTGTTATATATGGTGTGCTGGCTCCTACATTCACTGTACTTGCATTGTTTCGGGATTCTGCTTTTGCAAAATCATACTGGGTAGGTCAGGCATGCTTGTTAGTAAGTACTGCTGCATTGTCAAGGTTGTGCCATCCCAGTGGGTTTATAGATGATTACCTATGAGGGTGGGAACTGGAAAATTATGTTCATATCAGCCTTCTCCATTCATTTGCATTAAATCAATCCTTTTTGATAATTAAGCCAAACTTTGTTATTCAACATTTCCAATGGTGGGGAGAAGTCCAGGAGAGTAGCAGAGAGGGAGGGGTGAGAAAGAATGAGAATCAGCATAAACAAAATTAAAGTAAGTAGTTTAGAGCTATAATAATTTACTGGTGATTTTGACAGAAAATGCTTTTTTCTTTGGTAACAAGCAGCTTTACTGACATAAAATTCACATACTACACAATCCACCTATTTAAATATAACCAAAGGTTTTTAGTATATTCACAGTTGGGTTATCATCACTGCAATAAATATTAAAACACTTTTATCACTTCCAAAAGAAACTCCATACACTTTAGCTATCATCCCAACCCCACCATCTCCCCTGTTTAAGGTAGTGACTAATGTGTCTAACTTCTGTCTCTATAGATTTCCCTATTCTGGACATTTCAAATAAATAGAATCATACACTGTATGGTTTTTTTTGTGAATGGATTATTTCATGCAGCACATCTTCAATATCAACCATGTTATTGCGTGTATTAGTAGTTCATGCTGTTGTATGTGTATACCTTATTTTATTTAACCATTCATACGTTGATGGATGTTAGGATTATTTCCACTTTATGGCTATTATGCATAGTCAAATAATGCTGCTACAAACACTGGTGTACAAGCTTTTGTATGGACACAGGTGGTCATGACTCTTGGGAATATACCTAAGAGTAGAATTGCTGGGTCATACACTAACCCTATGTTTAGCCTTTTAAGGAACTGCCACACTGGTTTCCAAAGTGATTACACTATCTTCCCTTCACACCAGCAGTGTATGAGGGTTACAAATACTTTTTAAGTTGTCTAGCTTAAGACAATTAGACATCACTGTCAAAAAGGTAACTTTATTAAATAACTCAAGCAGGAAAAAAATCACAATTACAATGTTACAGTCTTTAAAATGAATTATAATGGAAAAGCTATCAAAACTATTGGGATATAGCAATGGAAATTTATAACTAATTCAATTACATTATTATAAAGGAGCAAAAGGTAAACAACAACAACAACAAAATAACAAGTTAAAAAGAGAACAGAATAATGCAAAGATATTTGGCAGATGGAACTAAAAGAGGGAAGCAAAAATTAATGAAGCACAAAACTTTCTATAGAAAGCTTAATGAAGCCACAAGTTGATCAGGAAAAAAAAAAAGAGAGGAAGTCCAAACAAATTATATCACAAGTAAGAGAGGGCCATAACTCCAGAGGCAGTTAAGCTTAAAATGAGAAGAAAAACACTTCCAACAACTTCCTGCCAAAAATTTCTTAGAAAAATATAGCTTCCCAAAGTTGGTCCACAAAGAAGAAAAAGCAACACTAAATTATCTTTAATAACTGTTTTAAGAAATGAATTATAAGTAAGAAAAAATGTTTTCCAAAAGGAAAATATCAGGCCTAATTGTCTTTACAGGTGAATTCAACAGAATATTCAAGAAACAGATTTGTCGCATTTTATGCAAACTGAGTCATAGATACTTGAAATAGTTCCAGAAGCACACTCCGGATTACATCATACATATATATATATATATGTATACACACACACACACACACACACACACACACACATTCATGGCCTATATGAGGTCAGTGATGGCATAATAGGTGCTAAACATAGCATGGGACTCAAAAGAAGAGGAGCATGGACACTACATTCAGGTGTCAAACATTGCTCAATAGCTCACAAAATATCTTGTGCCTTCTAGTTATCAGTTTCAATCATATGAAACTGTTAAGAGTCAACCATTTTTTAACTACTTAAATGGCAATTTTGTGCATTTCAGCATCGCTAGGCGTGGGGATGCATCAGGGGAAAAAAAGCTTTCGATATAATGGGAGAGTCAGAGATGTAAACCGGTCATACAGAGAAGGGGTGCAGGGGGAAGGGTGTGAGGAGGACACATTGAAGTCAAACTCGTGGGGTCAGAAAAGGCTGCCCCAAAGAGGAGATGCCAAAGGGAGTTGTCATCTCTTTGAGGAAGTTGAGTTGTCAAAGGGAATTAGCTTTGATATTGCCGATTTCTTAAAACTCTAAGAATGTGTGTTACTAAAATGAATGTTCATACTCCTCCCTATTTTCACCTCTTAGACGTGTCTGGAGAGTCAGCTACTTTATATTCATTAACTTCCTCCACAGCGTTATGTTGAGTGGCTACATGGAAGACATGCAATGCATGCTTTAATCATCACCCCACCCATCAAGGTAAGAATTACGTTCCCTACTTTAACTAATGAAGAAACAGAGGCTCCAGCAGATTCACAACATCATGCAGCCATTTAGTAGTAGACCCTGGTAAAAATTATGGTAGGAAACAAGAAAACAACTGCATGATGCCCAGATAATCAATGGCCTAAATGACCTTTGTAAAAATAACTGTCACAGGGAAATTTTTTAAAATTCTACTATAAGGCAAAAATCTATTCCAGTTACTCAACATGCTCAACGAGACTAGCAAAACTGCCCTGACTACCACCTGCATTGTGCCAGGAAGACTTAGAGCTCCAAAAAGCTTAAGACCATGCCAGAAGTCAAATTAGTCTGATGGGAATTTAGAGGTGCCTAGGTCCTTGGAAATCAATTTTAAAAGACTGTCTAAAACTTCTGAAGTTCAGTAAAGGGCTGAACTCAAAAATAATAACCATTTATGCACTTTCTTCAAGGAGTTACCATGTCATCACAGGGAGGCAGAGCTCTGTCTCTAATCCCTGAAAACCTCATGTCCCAGATTCTCTGGCAGTTAGTGTGGCCACATGGTTGAGGTCTCCCAAGAGTGTGAGCAGATATGAAGGGCGCCACAGCTGAGCCAAGGCCTGCAGGCCATAGGTGTGCCCAATCCATGTGTTCTCTGCCCATCTGATGGGCTGGGTGTAGATTTCAATGGGGTCATAGGAGATAGCAGAGCCACAAAATGAAAGTTGTCTGACCCCCTGAATTACCACGTGAGGAAAGCCACCCACCGACCAGGGAAGTATGTTTTTGGTTGTTAAATGAACAAAAAGTCAGCCTGTATATATGTGAGCCACAGCACATTTGCTGGGTCTACTTGTGATGGCAGGTAGTCCAATCCTACAGACAGTGACAGAACCAGGTCAAGAGCAAGTATGCTGCCTGTTGTGCTGTAAAGGGATTTATGGAGCAGATGGTCCAGACTGAGCCCCAAAGGAACTCCAGAACTCCTTCCACTCGGACCAAGTGACAACCGCACCCCTGTTGTTCCCAGCTCTCAAACCCAGGCTCTTCTCAGCCCAGAAGAACCAGCACAAATCATTTCTGTAAATGATGTCTGTAGAATAAATAAATAAATGACTCAAGTGATAATAAAGTGTTTAACAAGATAGTGAGCATCAATGCTACAAGAGATATCAAAATACTGGGCAAAATGAAGAGAAAAAATGGAGAGAGGTTTGCAGCTTGCCCATGCCATAATAACAGGTAATACTCCTACAACTCCTTGATAAGTATTTTTATTGCCTATGTAAACAGTTCTTTTTCTTAATTTGTTTTTATTGACAAATAAAAACGGTATATATTTATAATGTACAACATCAACTTTTAAAATACGTATACATTGTGGAATGGCTAAATCAAGATAAAACATATGCATGACATCACATACTTATTATAAAGAGATCTGAATGCAAAAAGTTGCATGCCAATAAGTAGCCAAAGAACCATAAATTAGATAGCCGTTTATTTTTAAGAAAGATAATAAGCAATTTGATATTGGGTTATTTGAGGCTCTTTGACTTCCAGAAATTATCTTATTTGACTCAAATATCAGTAAAATTTGCCACTTACACTATCTACTTTATACAGAGAAAAAGCAAGAGGACTGTATTGGAACCAGACCCAGTGAAACACACCTTGTAAATGGGAGTAGGAAATATTAGAAGTTGGAAATACGGAATAGAACTAGAAGAGATTTTAGAAAGTTTCTTCCTCAATCTCCTAATTTTAGAAATACGGAAAGAGGCACAAAGAGGCTGAGTGACCTTTCCAAGAGAACACAGCAGTGAGAAAAAGTAGAGTAGCTCCAGGGTTACCGGCTCCTAGACCTGTGTTCTTTGGCTCTGATCATATAGAAGGAAGATCAGATTTAACCTCAGAAAAATATGTGGACATGAACTTTCATTAGCTAAATTATTATAAGGAGAAAAATATATGAGACTTAGAATTAGTACTGTCTTAAGTTTGCCAGGATAAATTTTATATGAATAATGTCATTGAGCTTCAAAATTATTAAGGACATTTTTTAAACCCATCCTAATTCCTTCCACTATAATCCACTGCTGTTATTATAAAAATCTAGGTCTCAAGTAATGAAGTATATACTTTCTTATTTAGAAAAGCTAACAGATTATTTATAATTATCTTAATAGTAATATACATTCAATTATACAGAGAAAAAATCAAATCCATTTAATTCTAGCTTTCTTAACCCTGAAGGATATTTCTTCCAGATTTCACCAGCTGATACAATTCAGATGAAAAAAAGATCCTTCCTTTATTACTTAAAGGAAGCTGTAAATCATATGTAGACCTCAGGGAGGAGGGGACAAAGTAGGGGAGGGAGGAAGGATTCATTTGCTTATTAGTTTTCCATAAAAAATTAAGAATAACAAGCAGATCTAAATCTGCCCCCACAACTGAAGCCTCATATCAGTTGCTCCTGAAACATTAAAGACTTCTCTTACAAACTGCAATCAACTTAACTTTCTGTTGTCTTGCAGACACGCATGCTGCTCCAATTGATGAGATGTTATTAATAAAGAACGAGATGGCGACAAATTAAAGCAAGCCCTGCTTAATCACATTAATCCAGAGCAAGTCAAAGGCTTCAATTTTCGAAATAATTTTGGGCTTAATGCCTTGGAGATGGGCAGACTGCTCCATTGAGGCAGCAGCTGGTCCAATTTAAGCTGCATTGTGAGGCCGGAATTGTCAGGTCCTTACAGAAACAAGGAAGCCTGACAGTTTTCAGGATGCAACCAAAACTGCTGAGACAAAGGAAATTGCAAGAAATTCAAAGGGCCCTGTAACAATTACAAGGCAGCCCACTGTTGGGTGGATTATATATGATTAACCAACCCTTGCTGGGTGGCGTGCACTTACTGCCACCATGTGCTCGGCCACTGAGCCCCAAACAGCTGCTGTAAGAGGCATAGTCACAGAGCCACTACTGTGGACTGCTGATTAGAGAAAGGTAACCTGTCTATAAAGAAACAGAGTGGCCACCATGGTGGAGATCACCCTACATGTGTCATCTGTTTCCCCCGCAGGAAGGGCAGCTGCAGTGACCACCAGGAAGCCCAGACACGGAGGGAGAGGCCTGCCCAGGCACCAGTGTATACACACCAGCCAGTGCTGCAGCGACAGAAGGGACTTAAACCCCCAGTACCAGAGGAAAGGTTTTCAGCAGCGGGATTTCGCTTTTCATGAGCAATTATCTTAACAATTTTCTATGCAACAAAACGAGAAAAGTAGGTTAAAAACAAACAAATGAGTTCCAGATTGTGGGTCAAGAGACCTCATTTCCAGTCCCAGATGTGCAGCTCTTGGTCTGTGTGATGTTGAGGAATCCACCTTAATCTCTGGGCCCTGCTTTCTTCATGAATTGTACTGAGGTTTCCTGTTTTGCGTCACACAGCTTGTAAGTGACAGAGTTGACCAACTGCAAGTTTCCCACGGCATCTCCTTGTATTTACACATTTCCTAATCCATTGGGAGATGCCATTGTGT